TACATAAATAATAAAAAGTTGTTTGAAATTCACATGTCCGGTGTTCAGGGTCTGCAGTCAAGCTGCAGGAATAATTTCAGATTTCTCAATGCATTTTATGGATTGTTTTTCCTCCTGCAGAGCCTCCCCCTGGAGTGTGCTTCCCAGTGCTGCCTGACCTCTGGTGTAAATGTCAAGGCAGCTTCAGCCCTGCCCTGCAGATGCCATCTGCGTTTTCTGACCTTTCCTTGCCGCCCTGCTCGGGGCAGCTCTGCTCTGCAGGGGCTCTGGTGGGGTGGTGCTTGAGGGTCCCCAGGATCAGGGAAGGGATGAGAGTCGTGACTCCATGTCTCAGAAGGCTGATTTATTGTTTTATGATATATTATATTAAAAGAAAGAGAAAGGAGACATCAGAAAGTTAGGAAGGAAAATAGTAAAATCTTGTGGCTGCTCACAGCCTTGACACAGGTGGCTGTTGTTGGTCATCAAGCAAAAACAATTCACATGCTGGGTTAACAGTTCTCCGAATCACATTGCAAAGCAGCAAAACAGGGAGAAGGTGAAGAGGTGAAGCTTCCCAGCTTCTCAGGAGAAGGATCCTAGTGAAAGGATTTTATAAAACATGTCAGTGGCACCCTTGTGCCTCCAGAGCAGCGTTTTGCCCTCTGCAGGTCTGGTTTCCAGCCGTGTGAGCACTGCCATGGGTGGGATCTGGGTTGCTTGGTGGCCAGATGGATTCAGTGTGAGCTGGGTGGCTGAGGAGCCAACAGCAGAGCTGTGCTGGGGCTGTGGCTTTAGGGAAATGTGCCTGAGCAGGGGCATTGGTGGGTGGGAGCCCAGCCTGTCCACCCTGGAGGGGCTCAGGAGCCTGCTCCAGTGCCAGGTGCCCCTGCCCATGGAATGGGGTGGTCTCCAAGTCCCTTCCAGCCAAAACCATCCTGTGATTTCCAGGGTTTTACTGTGCCTGTTTCCTGTGGGTGTGGAGGAAGGAAACGCTCCTTCGAGGTTTGGGTTTTGGTCCATCCTCCGGGGGCCAAGATCATGAATGGAATTGTGTTGTCTGCCTTGGGAAAAACTGTTCCAAAGGCTCTGCTCGTCACAGAGAGGGGCTGGGAGGCGTCCTGGTGACCAGACAGCTGCATCAGTGGCAGCAGGAGCTCCTGAATCCTTTGTTAGTAAGGATAATGTGGGAATAATGGGAGAAGTGAGTTACGGCGGAGGCTGGTGCAGGTGCGTTGTATAGCACAGGAGGGGTTTGCCCTAGG